TTCCCCACCGACTCCACTTGTTTTTCCTACCCGCATAACTGTTTCGTGGCGGAGCGATTGGATTGGGCAATCGGAATAACTAATAACTGGTCAGAAGGTGTAAATTGAAGCAGTTTCGTCTACAGTCGGTTCAGATGAACTTGACTTTGTGGCTGAGTCGGTTGTAGCTACCATGTGTATCTACGCCATCTACGACGTCAACAACTTGCGCGGGAGGACGACGCGACCGCAGGCCTAACCTCAGTTCGATTGAGTATTACCTCCTGTGTGCAAGTTGAGAGATCAGTCTGATAACGATACAAGATGTATTTAAAACAAGATTATAAAGTGCAGCCGTCTTTGTTTTGAACCGACGCTAGCTGCTGCCACGGTTCACGGCCATCTTCTTTTCCTCTTCTTCAAACCTTCTAAGTGCAGTTGAGCGTCAAGCCAGTCGAGCGTGGTCAAGAACAGCAGTCTGTGAAATTGAAGGACTCGCGATACCTTTTAGCGTCTCAGCCAATGAGGACTTTAGTGCTCTTTACGTGACCATTTACGAAGTGAAGTGAAGTGAAATGACTTTCCTAATCAACCTGGTATACCGGAGACCGGACCGGACAAGATCATTTTTGAGGTTATATTAGTGTTTGTGCTTCTCTGTGTCTTGGATATCTGGAAATAACGGCGCCCACCTCATCGGCGCACGCCAAGAATACATCTCAACAAACACAGACGAAATACGAAGGTAAGTCACATCTTCAATCATCCGATATGAACAGCCCCTCATTTGGGTGGTGTCATAGAGAGTCGTGATGTTTCTTTTTCATGGAATTTCGCAACTTGCAATCACCTAAGTGCTTGTTCAAGTACCTATAGCATCAACAATTAATTAGCATGACCGATCAACGAACGCATCGTGTTATCGTGTTTCCGGTGGCGTAACGAACCGTCTATCCAACGCGAACGACAGGGAGCAACCTTGCTGACAATCTTTTCGCTGACACGTTTGGCGACGTGCTGCGTGTTCAACGTGGACGTCATCCCCGCCCCCGCCCCGCCATGTCCTGTAGTCCGACCCCCCGGGGCCTGGGGCTAAAACCTGCGCAGTGCGTTTGCCAGCGCTTTGGGCTTTTAGGCGCCCGGCGCTCTATCCGACGTCGCGTCGGGAAGAACGGTCTACAACGCGGGGGAGGTCGGAGGACTCGGCGGCGCCGCTTCCGAAGTCCGCGCGGGCCAGGCGGGCGGGCAGCCGCCGTGGCGGGTGACGCGGCCCACTCGGACGCGGCCCGGCCCTCGCGAGGGGCCCGTAGGGGCTCGTGGGAAGTGGAGTGGAGGCGCCGACGTGTTGTTACACACGCCAGTTCGTACGGCACTCGCGAGAGCGCGCCCGCCCTGCCACGCCCGAGAATCAGACAACACGGGCTTGTTCACAACTTTTTAATGTTTCTATGAAAACTTGCTCCCTCGGACGGCTGAGCTGAGCAGGCGGCTAGGGGGCTGGGGCAGGGCGGCGGCGCCGGCCTGGGACGGGCGTTTTTGCATAACTGTTTGCTCACCTCCTC